TTCTCACCGGACCAGGCTCTCACATCACCAAGCGCGAAGCGCCGTGAGATATTCGGCGAGTCGCATGAAGGGTGCGCTGCATCCTGCTAAGGGTTTTCGGCATCTTGTGCTTACTTCCTTGCATACTGATGACAGCTGCGTATGAATTAAATTTATGGGGGGCGAGAATAAAAAAGCAGCGTTTTTTTTTTTGTTCTTCTCGTCCATTCAAAAATTCACAAACGCCCTCTCCTTTTGTTTGTACGTATGTCGTTGTTGCCGAGATGAGCAAGCCCCCCGTTGGTGCTGTAAGGGCATTCCTTGAAAGTGGAGCACGCGAGAGGAAATATCTGTAAACGTGATACGGGCCGTATGCATATCATATACATGTGCACAGCAGCGCCGGCCCACGCCGCGGTGCAACCAAAGCTGCAGTAAATAATCGGTGCACAGCCAGCAAGATCACGGTTATTTTTGAAAAAATTGAAGGGCGGTGTGAACGATACTGCTGTATACAGCAGCAGCGGGAAGGGTGTGCACACACGCGCCGCACACGCAAAAGAAGTACATGCGTAGAATATTTCTGGGTGTGTTCTACAACAACACGGACCGCAACGCACATGCAAGACAAAGGAACAGTGGCGGCCGTTGCAGAGCATGCTGTCGGGAGCATCAGAAGATTGCCATTGATGAATACGGGGTTCACATCATATTCATATATTTCTTGTTCTACATCGGATCACGCCGATCCTGATGTAGGTTATGTCGAACGAAGCGCCTGACGTCCTACAAAAAATTACCCACTAAACAACGATGTTCCTTCTGCACACCAACCGTCATGCCATCCTCTACGCATTGCAACAACAGACCGGACCGCCATCCGACAGATTCGGAAGAACAATTTATGTACGAAAGGGACGGCTGGATGGAACACACACACACAAAACACACCACGAAAGGGACAGAGAGAAGGGACTTAAGAGTGTGTGTGTATGAGAGAGAGGGGGGGGGAGAGAGAAAACAGAGAGATATCTTCTGCTTTTTCGGCAAAAAAAAGCAAAAAAAGTAGAGATAAGAAACAACACGACCTGCTGTGAGAACCACGCGGCGTCGGGAACCCGCACCCCTTCTTGATAAAAAGCAAGGTGGTAGCAGCAATACCGCATGGTGCACAGCCCGACGCCGGTCTCGCTACACTTGACTATCAGCGTAAGGGAGACCTCGCATCGAATATCAAATACATTACAGCATCAGAGGAGAGGAATGCTTCTAGCAAAGAGTCGCACATATACACACGCAAATGGAAATCTCAACTAGTGCTGCCTAGATGCTCCAAACAGCAGTAGTCTATGTATGAAGGGTCCTCAGCCGCACCCGCGGGGAATTATTACTAACGTTCAAAGTCTGTCGTGAGGTTCAAGCCCAGTACTTTGGCCATTCAGCAATACATAGGATCCATCTACCCTTGAGAGGTATGCTAAAGGCGAAGAGCTCGATGTGCCCGCCTATGTGCCCGTCTGCGCGGGCACAGCCAGGGTGCGACTGGGACACACCGAGTCTTCGCAAAGAATGTCGGGTGTTGTTCCTCAGCAACGTTCGACATAACGGGTAAAAAAAGAGGGAAAAAAGAGAGCAACCAAATAAAATACTTCTTCTACTTTATGCCCGGAGACCCCCACGCCAGCCTTGAAGATCAAAGTGACGGACAGACACACATAATGGTGGAAATCGTTGAGTCACAACCAATACGCTGAACGATGGTCCACGTTGTGGCGCATGCATGCCTTGCACAAGGCGTGCGGGCTGTATATTTGGCACATGCCTGGCACACACACACGCACGCCTGCTGTAGATGAAAAATGTCTCGTGTTATTGCCACAGCAGGAGGGAAGGAGCAGCAGCAGCTGCTGCTGTTTTCCGGCCAAAAACAACATGCTGGTGCTGTGTGGCATACAAATAAATGAGGTGCCACAAAAACACACGTACAAAGATCCCGGCCAGCGGAATATAGACTACGTACATAGCGCACGATGCAAAACACCGACGCGTGCACAGATTGCAGCAGGAGAGCTAGAGCTACATGGAGAGGATGACACCAGCAGTAGGCAGGAAAAGGCAAGCAACCAAACAAAAGGACGAAGAGCGTGCATTATTTACTTGCAGGGCGCATCATGGGTGCGGCGGGAGGTGCTAAAATAAATCCTTTGCCGCCGAAACAAACAACGCACGCCAGAAAAAATACGGAAAGCAAGCAAGCAAAGGCCCATAGGGCGGGTTTTCGAAGGAAAAGTAAGCTTTAGACAGGCGCAGGATCCGCAAACAGCAAACTTTCACCGCCGCCTTGCACAAACCTGTCGAAGATCCTGAGGGTGCACCGCTCCCCCCGCCTCCTGGTGCTGTTGCCTAGCCCAGGACATGTCTGCTGCGGTGGCAGCAGTGCCAGCAGGATCGCCGATCTCGCTACCGTAGCCACCAGGCCAATCCAGCCCAGTCGGTGCAACGGGCACTCCACTTCCAGGAGAGCGCTGCTGCTGCTGCTGCTGGTCCTGGCCCCCTCCTCCTCCTCCTCCCCCTCCTCTCCAGGCGTCGTCCACAACACCGCCACCGCCGGAGTGCTGGTCGAAGCTCCCCATCCCGTTTACCCCCCGCTTGTTCGCGAAGATCTCAAGCCGGTCCGTATCGAACGGAACGTATCCGGCTTTGGCCATGCCTCTGATCCGTTTGCCGCTCCTGCTTTTTTTGCTGTGCACAGCTCTCGATGTCGATGAACTCTCCGACCAAGGGGCAGCTGCTGGTCAGGTGTGCGATCGCACACGCGCCTTGCGGTCGTTGCGCAGGCAAGTCGTTTGGCGGGACTCCACTCGCCCAGCTCCCCCGCTTCCAAGCCTCTCGCCCTGCTGCGTAATAAGGGCTGCTACTGCTGGCTGCTGCAGCTGCTGCCGTTGCCGTTGCACTCTATGTCGCTTGCTCGCTGTTGCTCCGTCACGTGCTGCTGCTCCTGCACCGGCGTCGTACCCGCAGAAAGCACGACAGACAAAAGCAGAGGCCGATTTCCTACCTTTGCGCGACCGCCTCTCTCGCTGCACCACACACCGCTGCTAGCGGAGCCGTCCGTGATGAACAACAGCAGCGGAAGGGGACCCGCAGCCTTCTTCCTCTTGTTCCCACTCTCCCTTTCTCTCTCTCTGACTGACACTGACTCCTGCGCGTTGCTTGCTGGCGGGGCGAAGTCGCTGATTTCTTGTGACAGCCGGGAGCAACTGTCCTTTCATGGCAAATAAAAAAAAAGGGCCCAAAGAGCCGAAGAATTGTCATGTGGGTCGTCCCATATTTATCACGTCAAATCAGATTTACTTGCCGGCACCCGTTCATACAAGATTTCTCATGAGGACTCGCCCTCTTTGTTTGGTAGAAGTATATTTTTTTTATCACCAAAAATATAGGTGGCGTTTGAATTGTTCTCTCGAAGTTTCGAAATTCCACCTGCTGGACAACAACCCGCGATTCTTTTTCCGGCTGTAGTTTGCCGTAGGCGGCGGTTGTTCGTTGGTGTTCGAACTTACAGCACGAACAATCGCCGTAGAAAAAACGCGTGTGAAGAGGCAGATTGTACTTAGCAGAGACCACGCCCGGGGTACCACGCCCGGGCTAACCCACGGGCGCAACAGAGTCTTAGAACAATGCATCTGCAGTCGGGACGAGGTCCATGCCCGCGTATGCCAGGCAGCAACGTGCCAGAGGAGGATGCGTCTCGCAAGCTGTGGAAGACAGATGGATGAGCATGCACGCGATGTTCTCTCTCGGCAATCAAACCGGAAAAAAATATGCCGAAGTGACCGCTGAAATATCGAGCGACATCCAAGGCCAGACAGAAAGAGACACATCTCCACCGATGTACATACATTATACGCACATGATGCTTATGTGTTCGAGCGGTGCCAATGAACGCACGCGCACCTACTGCCTGTGTATGTCCTGCTGCTGCGTGCTGCCGCTGCTGTGACATATGTTGCTGGCAGATTAATTTAGGGGCATATGAGCACTACTGCTGCTGCTGCTGCTGCTGCGCACGTTGAGCTCCTCGGGCTGCACCGGTCTGCATGCGCGACTGCTCCTCTTATAGACTATATTCATCCTGATCAACGCGCCGCCCACCGCCCGAACCCAAAGCGCCTGTAACAGCACTGTATTACCCACCTCTTGATGACGAATCAATCTTTCTCTCTCTCGTTGTGTGTCCAGATGCTCAATGGGGGGGACGAAGCAGTTCGTCGGTGCTACCAACAAACCTAGCTGGTTGCACAGAGCTCCCTTCTTCCTCCACACAGACCGAGAGATGTATGTCTCCACTTGGGCCGAGAGAGGATGATGTGAGAGATGATGATTGATGGTAATTGAGGAGGAGGAGGAAAAAGAACGAACACAGTGGATTATTTCACATTATTGTATGTTTTCATGTGCCATTGGCAGACCGTCCACAGCAAGAACTCTAGGTCCTGTTTACTTGGTTGTTTAGATGTGGTCTAGAACCCAACGTCGGACAAAGAGTTCAACCCGACGTAAGTTTTTCCGGGTATCTTGCAGATCTTTGAGATCTAGTATCTGTATTTAGGCGGCATGCGTACACATCTCGGGCTCTCACCCAACACACGCCGACCGCCGTCCATTCCGAGTGGGAGATATCTCCTAGTTTGTATGTGTATGTCTCCTTCCCCTTCTTGCTTGTTTTGCACCGGGTATTTATCTCTATGCATAACATGCAATGCTGTATGTAGATAGTAGTCTGGATGTAATGAATGGCTGTCTGCCCAGCTTGTTGTTCATGCAGCATTGAATAACTCTATGCGGACCGTTTTAATATCCCGACGGCTTCATTCCGGTTGGTTTATCTGATTGATGATGATGTTGTTTGTTGTACATAGATAGGGTGGAGGGAGGGGTGTAAGCAAGAACGCAAACGAACAATTATAACAAAAACACAAAACACACACGAAAATCTTATTATTTCGGCCAAGAGAATAAGCAATATATATATATATATATATGCATCGTTGTGCCCTTCAAGGACACATCAATAAAATAATTAAGAGAGAACGTAAAGAGCATCCATCCATGCCATGGCCTACTATTTATCTTAAAATGATGAGTCGTGTCATCGTGCTGTCAGGCCAAACCCTTCGCCAAACTGTGTTCTGTTGTTCTTGGATTACATTGACAAATAGACTTAATAAAAAGCGTGCACCAGATAGATGGATAGTCAGACAGACCCGGGCCGAGATGGAATTAATGGATGATGAGTAGCGAGATGCGGACGTCGGGATGGATGGATGACGATTGATCTGATGTGAAATAAAGAGAATAAATAAATGCCGGCGGCCCGCTCGGAAGAAACCATCCATAAACCAAGTCTAGGCTCCATCGGTTAATAGTCTAGGTATTGAATGTGTTGTGTACCTGGTTCGTTCGTGCGTGTTCGAACAAGATCCTCAAACAAACCTGGTGACGATGTCTCGGCGAAGGCAATTGCTAAATAAAGAAACTACACTTACTACAGTATAGTACTACGCATGTTATGTATCATGATAATAATCAAACAGTCCATGCCGGCGGCTGATGAGCCCATTTTTTTCCCGGCCATTGTTGTTTGTCAACAATTTGAGCTTTGGCTGCTTGCTTATTGTGCGAGGGACAATAATCGACGATGGTCCCCACAGAGGAGTTACGGTCGTCAACCAGTCTTTGCTGGATGGAACCAAGAACAAACCCCTTCCCCGCACTCAAGCGAGGGCACGAGATATCATACATCTATCTTTTATCTGTAGTCTAGAATTGACTAGTCTACATCCTGCTGCTGCTGGTGTACCTGCTTCCGTTTTCAACGATACGGGGTGTGGACAAAATGCACGCCATACGCAGCAAGCTGCCGCCAGCAGATAGAGTCTGAACATTCATTCGCGGACCGTCGGACGAACGAAGGTAGGTGATTAGTCTATGAACCATGCATCATCATCCATCCATCCATCCGGAATCCCGCTCGGGATGCCGGTCGGCCTTAGACTAGTCTATGCCATGACTCATCAGAGCGTTTATTATTGGCGCACAAGTAATTTTGGTTCACGCGAACAGGCGTCAACCAGCAAGCGTCGGGGGGGAAGCTACCTTGTTCTCCAACGAAGCCTTGCCTTTTCACAAGCTTCCTGTGCAAATTATCGCCCCCTGCTCAATCAACCATTTACATGTCACGCCCCCTCATGCAAGGAGATGGTCGGGAACGAAAACAAGCGATCGGTTTCTTCGGTAGTACAACTTGGGTAGTACCAAGTTTTTTTTTCTTGTTTAGACTAGTAGAGAAGATACGCGTGTACATAGGAACACAGGTACACAACAAACGCCGGCAATTCATTTCTAATATCATGTCGGAATAGAACGTAACTCAACACATGTAGGATAGTCCAGTATGCGACACCCGGCTCTATGCAAAGTCTTTCACAGAAGAAGCAGTAAAATGCAGTTTGGTTCAAACACAAAGTGTGCCCTGACTCGTGACGAAGGCTCGACCAAAGCGCGGAGGAGGTAACATATCGACACCCGAGGTTCCCTACCAGAGGTTCAAACTGCAATGGAGTAGTACAAAGAGGGGGACTTGGCCCGCTCGCGGCCCCTCGTTTTTTCAATTTTCTTCTATTCCTGCGATTAATAGTACTGGTCTGTATGTACAACCTGAGAGTCCTACCATACCGTCACTACGGCGGGGAAAACTGCTGGCGACGCGGGTGGAAATCGATCGCCATCGTCATCTAAATCGGTCAACGCGTCGAGCGGAAATACGCCGACTATGATCGCTATCAACAACGCTTCTCGACATTTACTAATCACCAGGCGACGCACCGCCTGATCCAAGCAAACACGCGCTGTCCGACAGTCGTCGTCTGCTTCTCCTTGCCGGCTTCACCCGCCACGTTCTGTCCAACCCGCACTGTTTACGGTATTCACTTTAGTAGTCTCCATGGCTCCACAACCAAGATTCTCTGTACCGGACCGTTTACCGTACCATGGTATTCCGGAACAAGCGGAGAGATATCAACCCCCCCAGGACCGACTTTCAAAGCTCGATTGCTCCGCTACCAACAGGGCGCGGAGAGAGCCCGATACACCTACGGAAAGCCCTCGACGAGATTTTTCCAATCCCACTATTCTTGGTGTTGGCACAAGCTTGGCTGTGAAGTAATAGAGTCTTGAAAATCGGCCTTAGAGGGGTGACCATATCTCCGCCTCTTGCGGTACGCCCCTATGTCTGCCGCCACCGTCATCCTTCGACGCCCTCTCACAAGTAACCGCGATTCGTTCGTTCGGAAGGAAGGAAGAAGATTGGTGCCTACGTTATACAGTATTCTTTCGCTGGTGGTGTCGTCGGCACAAACAACACCTCGACAACCGTTTCGTGGCGCAAGCAAGCAAGCAGCCCTCGTCACGATGAGACAGCGGCGGGAACAGCAGCCTCCTCCTCCGCCACCACCTTTGGCTCGCCGCTGGTGATGGTGCTGTCGTCGAACAGTAGCCTCTGGAACAGGCCGTTCACGAAGACCCTGTTGGGGTCCCATTCCTTCGACAGCGCGGATAGCAGCGGCAGCCGGCTGGCGTAGGCTCGCTTCAGCTTCTCCTCCGCGCCCTCGACGTACGAGTCGGTCCACTTCGCCCAGTGAGGGAGCGCGGCCGGTGAACCGTCCTGACGTGGATTTAGGACATACCGGGGGGAATCAGCTACATGGCTAAATGCTGTCGGTTCTCCGGAGGGTCGAGTGGTAAGTGCATGCGAAGCATTTCGATAAGAAGTTGAACACCACAAGACAAGAACGGCATCGTTTACTGCCCGGTTCGTCGAGGGCCGAATTGCAAGCTACAGCAGTAGTCTACTGTTCCTGAAGCGTTTGGCACGCAATGGGGGGGGGGGGAGACGGTCGAACTTGGACGGCCAAGATTCCTCCGCAGCAAGTGAAACGCTGCCGTACTTGTACTTATTGTCCACCCCCGTTGTCATCGAGGGTGACACAAGCGGCCCCTGTCGGGGCACGCCCAGTCTTACAGACGCCCATGTTCCTCCTTACCCTAACAGCCTGCCCTCCCTACGACGATTCGCTTGACTACTGCGGAGGGCACCAAAAGAAGCTGATTTTCCCGCCGTGGTGGTGGGTGCGTATCCTTTTCCAACGCGGTGTTGACCATGACCTATGGTCACAACAACAGCAACATTGGCAACCACTACAACAATAACAACATTAACAACCGTACCATTAACAATAGCAGCACCTTGAGAGTGATGGCCAACCAGGCGTCCGCGACCCTGGTGTTGAACTCTTTTAGCCGCGGGGTGTCCGTGGCGGAGAGGACTTCGATCCACAAGAACACGTCGCCCTGTACGTACGTAATTTTTCGAGGACGCCCAAGAAGCATTAGCCGGCCGAAGAGAGGGAGGGGGGGGGG